TCTTTCCCCCACCCCCACCCCGCAGCTGGCTAAGGGATGAACTTGCAGGAGAGAGAAATGGGGGCCCCATCCCACTTATCGTTCTCCCTCCGTGGGATTTCTCCTCTTTCCCCAGCTTGTGAAGCATGGTTTCTAGTCCTCTGAGTGGGTGGGTGATGGGAAGGGAAGGAAAGTCGGGATTAGGAAAGGTTGTGTTTAACTGGCCCTATCATAAGATGGTGTCACCCCCTTAGGGCTGACGGGTGTTTAAAAGTTGATTCTTTCTCCCGTGAAGGGCTTTTGTAGTCATTGGAGACATCCCTGGGAATAGTCAACATAACCTCTGTGATTTATTAATTTAAAAAATGCATTTTCCCTTGGCGACAGCTTCCCCTTCTGTTGTCTGGGCAGCCCACTCTACACACATTTGCTCATGGCGCCCCACAGACAAGCTCCATCCAGGCACTCTTATTGGGCAAGACAGAATCCCTCTAGTCAGCTCTCTCTCAATCTTTGCCCAAATCAACTCTGAACGTATACATCTATCTCAAAGTAGTGGCAGTTTTTCTCTCCTTCACCCTCAAAACAGCTGGCCAGCCTTCTTGTCTTGTGAATTCCTGGGTGAGTCAGATCCCAATGCACCATGCTCTTTAACCATTGTGACGTATGTCCAGCTTATATGACAGCTATACCATTGGTCCCATTGGCATTCGAGATGAGAGACAAGCACACTCTACGCCTTCCTTCCTTCCCAACCAGAGTAGGTGGCACCAGCAGCCCTCGTCAAAGGCATACCTCCCTAAGTGCCATCCATCCAATCTCTTTGTCCCCAAACATAGGTGAGGGGTCTCAAGAGTCTTCACACCTGTTTTTACAGTTGCTTTGCAAATTCCGCATACAGTCTACTCTGGAATAAGACCTATGGGATCCTGCTGCTTCAATGAAGACCTCCAATTTGCTATCTGGGACATGCTGTTACTGAGCAGCGCGAGTCTACGTCGCAATGTAACCCTATTTAGTTTGTCTTGAACTGCATCCAGGGTCAAGGTAGAACTCCTCTGGGGGTTTCCGCAGCTTCTCTCTGGACCTCCTGTCCAGAGCTTTCCCCCTCCCAGCCTGGCCTCCCTCACGATGGCACGCCTGTCACAGCCCCAGATCCTGGTGGGCACGGATCATCAGGGTCAGGAAACTTCTGTAAAGGACAAAAGAGTAAATGTTTTCGGATTTATGGGCCGTACAGCCTCTGCCACCATGACTCAACTCTGTAGTGGTGCAAAAGCCACGACGGACAATTCATGAGCAAATGCGCTTGGCTGTGTCCCAGTGAGACTGTGTTCACAGCACAAGTGGTGGGTGGATTTGGCCCGTGGGTCACAGTTCACTGACCCCTGGATTAAATCAGTGACTAGAGAAAGAGGAATGGTGGCCCTAACTATACTGAGAATTACCTGGGGGCAGAAATGGAAGAAAACCCCAGTGAAGTCACTGAAAACCCATAGGCTGTGAAGGATAAGAACCTGCTTTGTTCAGAAGATGTGAAGGCCTTGGAATTTTAGCTCTGGGATTTGAAGAAAACCTCCAAAATTCAGTCTGGGAACGCATCGTCTTTTTAAAAATAGCCGAGTGTGATGTTCAACAGAAAGGAGGAGGAGCAGGGAAGTCCACCCGGAGGCGTGTTGGTGATCACCGGCCATTGTCAAGGTCACTATGGATTCACCCACAGCAAGCTGTCTGATGTGCCCTGTTGGGCCACTATGCCTTCCAACAAATTGACCCACCTGCCCGGACACCATTCTCACTTCCACCTTTTGCTCCATGAAAACATTGTTCACAAACCAGTTCAAATATGTGGGAGATGCTTTAGCCCTCAAGCCTTAACCGAGTGTGCCCAGCTTCCAACACCCAATATCTGCATTTTGTTACCTGAGAGCTTTCCCCAAACTAGGCTGGCCTTTGCCCGGGCCAGGCAGGCCTGCGGTGCTTGGGTCTTACGTGCCCCAGGAGCAGCCATCAGCCAGTGACTGACAGGAGTGGGAGGTAACTCCCAGCTCCCTAACCCCTGGAATGGGGACTGAGGGGTGTGGCTTCCACTGTTTCTCAGTTTTCTAGCAGTTTTGAGCTCCAGGCGCTCCCAGTGGAAGGCAGCTTGGTAATATACCCTTTGCGGGCATCTTCCTTTTCCTGCTGTACTTCCCTCCCCACTCCCTGCTGGAGAGTCCTGTCCTTCCCAAATAAACTCTTTGCTCTCACATGCTTACTCGGATACTGCTCTTGGGGAAACGAACCTAAGCAGAGGGTCACTTGCTCTGTGTCCTTTCTGCAGTGTCTCCATTCTGCTTCCTGCAGCAGGGTCTCTTAGGCACCCAACACGTTCCCTTACAGTCATTTGAGTCAGGGTAGGTCTCTTCCCCTGAACAGTGAGCGAGTTTCCTAGAAATGAGTCTTGTTCCTCTTTGCATCACTGGCAATTTCGCTAGCCTGTCACACAGTGTTCACGTCACGTGCATGCTGATTGCAGGAAGCTTATTGTGTAGGTAGAACAGAGATAAGGAAGTGAGTTCAAAGGGGCTGGTGCTGCACCACTAACCATATGTAGTAGCCACTAGTCACACATGGCTATTTAAATTAAAATTGCATAGAAATTTAAAATTCAGTTTCTCAGCCACACAAGCCACATTTCAAGTGCTCATAGCTGCATACACTGGTGGTGACCATCCTGGACAATGTGGGTATAGAGCATTTCTATTGTCATACACAGAGCTGAGCTGGGGAGGAAAATAGAGTTCCCTGAATTCATGACTTGGTGATGGGCAGTGTTGTGTGGGTCACCAAGCTCCTCAAAGCTTTCAGGAATCAAGGGGTAAGAACAAGCCCCTATATCCTGCACTGTGGTTACCTAAGAGCAGACACTACTTCACCATGCAAGAGAGAACCAATGATGTACAGTTAAGGTTTTAAATAATTGCTTTATTTACATTTTGGCTGAACCACAAAAAAAGGAAGAAAGAAAAAGCACTTCAAAGTTTCCAAATTGAGATTCGTGAAGTGTGGTTTAATGTTCTAAAGTTCACGTCCTGTGCTGTGCAAGTAGGGTTGGGTTAGGAGCATTTGGACAGGCGTGCAGGTGAGGAACGTCAGGGCCGCTCACCAGCAGTTGAGGCTGGATGGACGGGATGGCCAAGTGCATGCATATCCCTTCTCCTGGCATTTGATTCGGAGATGAAATGTTTGGGAACTGGAATGTGTTCTAGCCTTAAAGTAGAAACTTCTCTCATTTGGGTTGAAGTTAGGCATTGGCAATTTTTTAAGACATGATTTGAACTGGCAGTGGAGGGCAAGATGAGTGTCCAATTCAATCTGCTGATGAGTTCCCTGAGGGCAAGGCCCACGGTGTGCTAATGTTGTTTGCACAAGGTTTAGCTGAGAGGTGCTCAGCAAAGGTTTACTGAATGAATAAATGAATGATAAGTGACCAGAGGAATGAATGAACATGTAAAACTTGGGTACACCTGAATGAACAAAGGAAAATGCACTTGGCCTCACAGCCAATGGGAGGTGATGTGTAATCATCCACCACGCTGCCCCTCCTCTTTTAAAATCTATTTTGTAGACTTTGAGCTTCCAGCTCCTAAAAATTTAGCAAGAATCAGAGTCTGTTTGGGCTACAAGGGGGCTTAGAGATGATTTAACCAGGTTGTAGAGTTTATTCACGGCAGAGTGCTTATAATGTCCTTATAGCTCGTAGGATGGGTACCGTATCTGAATAGCTAACTACTCTTTTATTTTTATTTTTTGTATAATTCTAAAGTTTTGTTTATTTTTTGAATAGGTGACATGCTCCCAATCCAAAAGGCACAAAAGCATATTCAGAGAAAGGTCACCCTCCCCCTCCTTTTCTCCATCCATATCCATCCATATAGACAACAATTGTTGCTGCTTTCTTTTGTACCCTTTCAGAGATGGTCAGTGCATCTAAGCACAATAAAAAATGCGTGTGTGGATGTCTTTTTTTTTTCTTTACATGTGATACACCTTGTTTTGTCCTTTGATTTTTTTTTCAATCAACCATATTTAGCTCCTGGTGCTTTGACTCTTCACGCTGTCTTGGCCAAATTCTTCTCTGGGTGCCCCTGGCACACGTCTCTTACCAGCTGTTGATTATTCCTTGTCTTCACACTTGCACTTGTCTCCTAACTTCCCTCCCTGCGTGGTTCTGGGGTCCCCACTCCATCCTCTATGTGTTACCAGCTTTATCTTCCTAAGGCACCATCTTGATTGTTTTCCTCCCCTGCTTGAAACCCTTCACTAAAAAGACCTTCCCTACAAAGCCTGAGATACTTTGCCTGAAATTCATGGCCCACCCCCAGCCCACCCACCCCACCCCACCATCCACACACGTTCATGCCCTTTCCTGTCACATTTGTGTTGGGCATTTTATTGGCTTAAGGTGCCTCCCCAAATCCTCTCCCTTTCCCATCCTGCTCAAAAGCTACTTCCTCCATGAAGTCTTCCTTGGGTACCAGCTGGATATAGTCTCTTCCTTCCTGGCCCAGGCATAGCATTGAGTGTGTCCCTCTTTGCACTGGCATTATTTGTTTCTGTCTTACAACCCCAACTACAATGGATGGAAGCTTTCGTGGAGGCAAGGATTGTGTTTATCTTACACATTTTTGCATCCTTCACTTAACCAAAAGCAATGTTTGTGCATTCTGCCTGTATCACCTCACACACAGTTGTTGGATGCACAGTGAGCGTGGCATTGAAAAGGACAAATGTCTCCACATTTTAAGGCTAAGAAGTTTCTATCAGCAGGGATTTTATTCTTATACTGAAAAGACCAAATTGCTCTTCTTCTATTGAGTCACTCATGGGAAATGTGGTGTTCCGTGTGACTAGGAAATCAATTAACTGTTAAGAATATTCAGAACAGATATGACATGCCATTATGTTGCTTGACAGTATATAGCCATAAATTTTTTTAAAAAGAGCTTTTTCATCAAATAAGCAAAGAGTTAGGCACATGAAGAAATAATGTAATTGATTTATTATATTTTGTGAAATGTTTCATCTATGTCCATAGCTGGCTGAAGTTAAGATTTAAAATATAAAAAGTTTTACCTGTTTGTGGTTGCACATAGGAACTAACAGTCAGATGCATTAAAGTGTAAGTAACTCTTCAGAGAATCAAGCAAAGCTCTGCTTTTCGGGATTGACGATAAGTAAAGTACCCAGCTGTTGACCTCTGGTAATGACTTTGGGGTGCATAGATATACCGCCACCATCATGTATATATTGTAATGTCTTCAAGAGCTTCAGTGTGGCACTGGAAGTTCAAAGAACTTGGGTAGAGGTCAAGGTAATTGGCTTAATGTATTTGCTTCATCTGCTCAGTGCATTTCTCTAAGGAATTTTCTGCACCTGACCTAAAATACAGCTGAGAGCTCCTGCTCCCCTGTGGATCGGGACACAGAGTTGGCTCTTTCCAGTTTCTCACTGGGAAGGAATGGAATATATTTGCCCAGGGGCAGGATCATGTGCCAGTGGAAAAAGTGGTGGAGGTGCTCCCGGAACCTCTCTCCAACAAAGGCGTAGATCACAGGATTGACACAGCAGTGCGTGTAGGCGATCACCTCCGTCACCAGCATGGCCACGTCCAGCTGTTTGCTCCGCTCACAGTCAGCCTCAAAGAAGATCGTTTGATAAGCGGAGAGAAGGAGAACCAGGTTGTAAGGTCCCCAGAAAATGAAAAAGACCACCATGATGACAAAAATGAGCCGAATGGCCTTATACTTTTTTCTACTGGGGCATCTGACCAGCGTTTTAATGATTCCGGCATAGCAGACAGCCATAATGAGCAGAGGCAGAACGAGACCCAAGACATTCATTCTCACAGCATAGAAACGCTTCCAGGTGTCTTCTTCATCCTCTGGATAAAGTGGACTGCAGAGAACCTGTTCAGAATCCTCTTGGAACCTATGGAAGATAAATTCGGGGAGGGCAGCCAGCCCTGCCAGGGCCCAGGTGAAGACACTGCTTATGATCCCAATGGTGACAGTCCGGGCCCGCAGCGCGAACACAGCGTGGACAATGGCCAGGTACCTGTCGATGGTCAGCAGGATGATGAAAAAGATCTCACTGTACAAGCCTATGTAATACAGCCCCGAGAGCAACTTACACATGCGATGGCCAAACACCCACTCATTCCACCTGATATAGTGAATCCAGAAGGGGAGGGTGACTAGAAACAGCAAGTCAGAAATCGCCAAATTGAGCAGGTAGATGTTGGTCATAATGCGCAGGCGCCTGTATTTTTTGAGGATCACCACCACCAGCACATTGCCCAGGAGACCAACTCCAAACACCAGGGCATACAGTGGCGGCAGCAACTGGGTCCCCAGCTCCTGCACATTGACTTTTTCACACGGCATTGTGAGCTCATAATCGTAGGGGGTGGTCCAGAAGACTTCTTCCTCAGTCTGGGGCCCGTCTATTGGGGTTGCCATTTTTCTTGTCTCTGTGCTAGAAGAAGAAAAAACAGCCACACAATTAGGCACGATCACTCCTTGTGAATCCCAGTTGATTTATTCATTTACTCAACAAAACCACGGGTGATAAACAGCCTATACGTTTAAAGGTTCTTCAGCTTATATTTCAAAAGGTATATCAGAGTTACTATGGGGGAGGAATCAGAAATGAAAGATAGGAAGTTTTGAAAGTCAGTATGGTCAATATGGTCATTTAATCTATGACAAAGGAGGCAAGAACATACAGTGGGGTAAAGACAGTCTATTGAACAAATGGTGTTGGGAAAACTGGACAGATACATGTAAAAAAAATGAAACTGGACCACTTTCTCACCATATACAAGAATAAACTCAAAATGGATTAAAGTCCTAAATGTAAGACCTGAAACCATAAAACTCCTAGAAGAAAATATAGGCAGTAAACTCTGTGACATTGCTCTTAGTGGTATTTTTTCTGATCTATCTCCTCTGGCAAGGGAAGCAAAAGAAAAAATAAATAAATGGAATAGATCAAACTAAAAAGTTTTTGCACAGTGAAGGAAACCATCAACAAAATGAAGACAGCCTACTACTGAATGAGAGATGTTCACCAATGATACATCGTGTAAGGGGTTAATATCCCAAATTTATAAAGAACTCATACAACTCAACACCAAAAAAACAAACGATCCAATTAACAAATGGGCAGAGGACCCGAATAGACATTTCTCCAAAGAGGACATGCACATGGCCAATAGACATATGAAAAGATGCCCAACATCGCTAATCATCAGAAAAATGAAAATTAAAACTAAAATGAGATATTACCTCACAACTGTCAGGATGGCTATCATCAATAAACCAACAAACAAGTGTTGACGAGGTTGTGGAGAAAAGGGAACACCTGTGCACTGTTGGTGGGATTGCAAATTGGTGCAGCCATTATGGAAAACAGTATGGAGGTTCCTCAAAAAATTAAAAACAGAACTACCTCATGACCTAGCAATTCCACTTCTGGGTATTTATCCAAAGAAATCCAAAACACTAATTTGAAAAGATATATGCACCCCTATGTTCATTGAAGCACTGTTTACAATAGCCAAGATATGGAAGCAACCTAAGTACCCACCAATAGAAAATTGGATAGAGAAGAAGTGGTACATACATACAATGGAATATTACGTGGCCATTAAAAAGAATGAAATCTTACCATTTGCAACAATATGGATGGACCTAGAGGATATTATGCTAAGTGAAATAAGTCGGACTGTGAAAGACAAAAACCATATGATCTCACTTATATGGAGAGTCCAAAGGGCAAAATAAATGAACAAATAAAACAGAAACAGACTCATAGATACAGAGAACAAACTGATGGTTGCCAGATAGGAGTGGTGTTGGGGGGCTGGGTGAAAAGGGTGAAGGGATTAAGAAATACGAATTGGTAGTTATAAAATAGTCACAGGGATGTAAAGTACAGCATAGAGAGTATAGTCACTAACGTTGCAAAAACTATGTATAGTGCCAGGGGTGTGCTAGACTAATCGGGAGGGATCACTGCATATCACTGCAATAATATACTAATATTATTATAATAATTATTATTACTGTAACTTTTAAGGCATGTAGCATTTTATGTTTTATTGCTTATATATGACTTTCAAAATCATCTTACCTATTTAAAAACCAAATGCTTATACTCATAATAGTGATTATTATTATTACAAACAACTACCCTTTTCCATGGCCCCATAACAATGTGCTGTTCATCTTAGCAAGTGAGGAAATTGAATCTTGAAGAAATTTGGCAACTTACCCCAAACCCTCTCACAAGTAAATACTACAAAAGTTCAGGCTAGATCTTTAGCACCTATGTGTATGTCCAATTCTCTCATCGCTACATTGAAATGCAGTAATTTTTAAGTTTAACTGTTGATGACATAGCTATTATCATTATGTATTATAATTAGATTACAATTAGAAGCAGTGTTAACCTAGATTCCTTCCCTTTTCCTGCTCTTGATAACGCTGAGTCAAGCCCGTCATGTGCCAACAGCAGACCCCGTAGAGTTCCTCCTTTATAAGGGGGTTGAGCAGGAGGGGTAAGCCAGTGGGATTTCTTTCTTACTAGAGTTGATTTTTTTTAAGACCAGGATCCCTAGGGCCAGTGCCTGCTTTTGTTAAGATTACGGACTTCATTGGAGAAGAAGGAAAAACAGACACGGAAGGAGTCCCAGGGAGGGCAGTTAATCCCTGTGTGCCTTCCTCGGATGAGTCCTGCTGACTCTCTCCTTTCTATGAGGGAGGGATAAGTGTAAGGACATGAATATTTAAGTCAATGGGTATTTCTCAAGGTGAGTCTTAGAAAGGCAATAATTGGAGCTAATGACACGGAATTGTCTTTGCTCCCTAATAGAATACTGAGTCCCCCAAAGTCAGCCCCTGTCAAGGGGCTGTGTAGTCAAAAGTGAGAAGAGAGATGGAAGACCCAGCAGCCGTGCCTCACCATTCCTCTCACCAGCTGTAGGACTTGGACAAGCCCTTAACTCTGAGCCTCATTTACTCATCTCCAAAATAAGGAACATGGTATCACTCGAGGTTGTAGTGAGGACCAAATGAGACAGTGTATATGAGATCACATTTGAAACTTTAAAACGCTGTAAAATTGGTCAGAAGTAGAAGTGCAAGAAAGACAACGAGAAGCCATTTCATATGAAATTAGGAAAACGTAGGGTCTTTTGAACAGAACTTGTGGATCTATTTCATGGACCTGTCCCAGTACATCACCCACTGGTCAGTGACACACTCAGGTTTTTGCGGTGGGACAAAGAACTGAGGAACATCTTAGTTGTATGATCTTATCAGCATTCTTGGTCCTAATGGTATAATCTACAGCAACTGAGAAAAAACCTCAAAACCCCATCATTTTATCTGTTATGCATTTACAACCACAGAGAGTGTCCCTCTAAACTTTAATGTCTAAGCAAGAAAGGAACAGTTGCTTGCTCTGGAGAGCAAAAGTATAAGTAGCTTCTACTCACCGTTAATTATTTGTATATTCTTTCCTTCTCTCCCATACTGATCTAAAAACAAGTCGATTTTTAAAAAAATTTCCTAAAGTTTTGTTCCACTTGAGGATCGTGCCTTTAACTCATGTGTTACTTCCACAAAACCAACTTGGTTGTATGATAACATTGGAGAATCTTTGGGGGACTGTGAAGTGCAAAGCACGGGCACTCGCAAGCAGCTTCTGGGGTCAGAGATATGAAAACTGACATGGTTTTCATCTATCTATACGGCCCTAATGAAAAGAAATGTTGAAGTTAAATTGTCAAGAGGTTTGAATTCGGCTTTTTAAAATGGCTTTTTACATTTTAGAAAAATAAAACAAACAACACCAACAATAAAGATTACTTGGCAATAAGAAAGATGAACTACTGCCATTTGCTACAACATGGCTGGATCTTGAGATTATCATGCTAAGCGAAATAAGTCAGACAGAAAAAGTCGAGAACCATATGACTTCACTCGTATGTGGGATATAAAACTGAAAGCAACAAGGGAACAGGACAAAAAAACAAAAACTCATAGACACAGACACACAGTTTAGTGGTTACCAAAGCGTAAGCAGGGAGGGGGTGCCCAGGCTTCCTGTTGGTCCTCGATTTATGTGGCTGGGGTCTGCTGAGGTGGGGCGACCTGGTCCCAACCCCGAGCCTTCTGTTGGCATCTGCTGCAGTGGTTTGTAGCGAATGGCCTCCTGATCCACTCATCCTCAGTCTCCCTGGGCATAGTGACCACTCCCAGGTGACAATGTTCCCCCAGCTCAGGCCGGAATGAAGAACCCTCTCTGTCACCGCCACGTCTTCATCAGGGCCCTGGCTCAGGCTGTGCACCTTCTCCCGAACCAGCAGGCACCGGTAGACATGCTGCTCCGTGCCTGTGCCTGGCACAAGCCAGGGCCTCTCAAAAGTGCAAACTAGATCTTTTTTCTGCCCGACCACCTCCTTAATGGCACTGGCCACCCCACATGGGTAAAGAGGTGCCTTGCAGAGAGATATCCTCTTGGGGTTCCCCCAATTTATCAAACAGCCCTCTACATCCCCCAACTCTGGTTAATGCCTGGATAAGGAGCTAGGGACCACAGGGTTGATTGCTTTCTTCATGACCATCACCTCTTTCCTCACATTTCTTGGAGTCAGAAGACGAGGAGCCTCCTCCCCCACATTCTGGTCCGACTAAATATATGCACAACCTCCCTTTTTACTGTGTGATATTTCATGAACACCTCTCCATGTTAACAAGCATAGATTTATACTCACCAGCTTTCAAGTTGAATGAATTTTGCAAAGCTGAATTGAGAATAAGCATCTAGAATGGGAGCTCCTTCTTTAGAAAATATATTTAAGTTTAGAATGCCATTTTAATGATCAAAAAACATTTTTTTTATTGATGACACTCAATGCTGTTAAGGTTGCTACAGAGAACCTGGAGCCCTGCATCACTGCTGATGCTACGTAACTTGGTTCAATATGTTTTAGAAATTTTATACACAAGGATAATAAGAACCACCAAGATACACAGGTCTTTGATTCAGTTGTTCTCGGAAATTTACCCTAAGGGGAAAAAGTTGACCAAACCATAACCTAGTGTGCACAGATTTGTTTGCTGTGGCATCATTTTCATAACAGAAAGAGACGAAGAAATGGGGACAGTCCAAATCTTTGACATATGAAGGATATTCTGAATAAATTGTAGTTCATTTCCACAATAGATTATCATGTGGTTATTAGAACTAGTTTTAGAGACCAGGTAGAATCACAGACAAATGT